GCAGTTTCTGCAGTGACACAAAACTACAATTATTCGTTGAGCTACAAAAATAATAAGAAAAAAAAACCACTAACAACTGAAAATAAAGTCCCCATGAGCCAGCAGAACCAATCAGATTCGGTGATAAGCCCTGATAGAGACCCCGGTAACCTCTGGCTCTGACAATGAGCTTCGCTGCATGCCAATAACTATGATACTGAGGTCGTAAGTGATTGCCTTCGTTAGCTGCAATCAGTGCTGCTTAATTTTATACAGAATTTCATGATATCCGATTAAAAAGTTGACCGAAATGAACAATTTTAAAAGGATACTTTAGTTTTTTTTAAGGATTTTGGGCATATAGAAATATGCAAAATTTTGAATTGAGTATACAGTTTTGTATTTTTGGCGATAAGTTCTCATGCACTGCCCATATTTATGTATTTCACAGTATGCTGTTATATGGGATTTATTGAACAAATTGCTGGCAAAATATGTAAAATACACAAATAGGGTACTTCATTGTGAATAAGTTCTAGCGTGTTTGGGACGAAGAAGCGACGCTCACACAAAAAACAATTTGAAACAGCTGCAGTCTTGTCAAATGCGGTAAAAAAAATAATCCTTCAAAAAACGAGGCTCAGGAAACGAGGCGAATGTCAAGATCCACAGCAAACTGACCACAAGCACGGGTCAACGTAACCGAAGAAGTCGCAAGTCACAAGAAGCAAAGAAATCGAGAGAAAGAGGTATATGAAGGTGCTGTTGCTGAACAGTAGCAATAACGAACTACAGAAATACATTAAAGAGATAGGTCTTCTAACGGGGACAGTAAAATCTGAGAGGAAACAGCTGAAGAAACACAGAAATGGAGCCGAACAGGAAGGAAAACATAGAGAATTGAAAGGATAATACTTCTTTTACTTCTTCTTGCATCAAATGGCTAAATGCATAATCCTTAGAAGGCCTATTCAACTCACCGCACAGCTGCAGAATTTCGAAGAGCGTGGAGCTGTGAACAAAACTGGCAAATGAAAAGAGGAAAATTACCGGAATATCGTATCCTAAGCAGATCCAGTGGATGGCAAGCAACGGTACTTGTGACACCTCCCAGCACACCACCAATTAAATGCTCATATTTTTCCATTCGATTGCATCAAAAATAATTTTTTCACACTGAAAAACAGTGCAATTCAAGGGTTGGCAGTTTTGTGCCTCACACAAAATACAAATATTCCTCAATGTTAACCATAATTCACTCGCATATTGCCCATAACTTATGCATTTTGCAATATATTCTCTTCTGTTCACTTGTACGAAGGGCAAAATAGCCGTAAATAAACGAACTACATAATATCTAAAATACACGTGGGACAAGAGTA